CATAAACTTCTGTAGGAAAATTTCTAAATGATAACAAATTAAGAGAACTTAAAACAAAGGAAAATTTTTAGAAATTCATTTTTTTAAACAATTGCGAATTATGAAAGACACGAGAAATATTGTAATCATGATGCATAAATTCAATTATAACTGTCAAGCGAAATCGCGAAGGCACAATATTCATAAGTTTAAAAGGACTTTCCTTTCGTCCGATACCTCAAAATATATTTTTTGTATTATATTACAGTAAGCTTGACGCCATCTATTAAATTTCGAAGATTCTACTTGAGTTTCTTTGTTTTTACGCATTTTTGCATATTGAGATTAAGTTCGGTGTGTCCACCAAAATCTGTAGAGGAAAATATTAAAAAAAACACTTATGAAAAATTTTAAGACTATATAAAAAGCAAAATTTAATGAATCCATAAATTTCGAGAGGGCTCTTCAGTTGCCACATGAAGATTTCCGATATAACTTCGTACAGAGATGGTCGATTAGGCCATATTTTCACTCACACAAGCAGTTCCGAGAAAGGTCAACAGCCGCAGGAATCGTCCGATATCAATATTCCTAAGGTTATTCTTAATCTTTTCAAAAATAAGGCACCAATGTATACTGCACTTTGCTTCTGTGTCTGTTTAATCAAAATATTTCTAGGAAGGATAAAATATTGTTAAGTTTCGTATTGAAAAGTGATAGCGCATCTGCCGAAAATGGAAGATTGCACTTTTTCTTTTATGATGGACCATTTTTCCTGCACCAAATTACCTTTAGGTCGTGTTTTTAGACGAACTAAGTAAACCGAAATTGTTTGGAGACTGTTAGCTGCAGTTTCCTTATTGTACATAAACGTAACCTATGTTGTACAAAAATGTTTATTGCCATATGCTGACAATTCAAAAAGGTCGTGTTTAGTGGGCAGCTGCACTGCGAATTTTAAACATTTATTTCAACGGTTCATAGTATTTGGTGGAGAAAAAACATTCATATAAATATATTACTATTCTTTTGTGACAAACACTGTCAGTAACTGGCACGAGATAACTTTTAAAACTGCGCTCTTTCCTTGTTTCAGAATAAACAGTGCAATTGTCTATGCTTGCGTCTCCTTAGCATTTGATCTTCCAGTTTTGGCTATGATTTAATTAAACTTTTCTTGCTTGCACTGATGCTCATTTATCAGCCAGCACTCACAAACAAAAGGTGCTGACCCATCATAAGAAATAGCATGGGATATGTTTTCGATATCCGACCGTCTCCTATTTCGCCAAATATCTGCAGTTTTCTTTGTTAAAAATTGTCCCCAGCATTCAACACACTCAAGAGATTGCAATTACAAACCCAACGATGGGATACACTAAAACCTGGGATTTTGATCACGAAATTGTTTTTCGTAGATCGAAATGAGTGAACTTCGTAAAATAAAATTCTATACTACGGGCATAGAATCCCACACAGTTCAAAAAGAAATAAATGCTTTTTTTCTCGTTTTTACATTATTTTGCGAGGCTAGTAAGTAGAAGCGACAGGCTTTCTTTTGATCGCATCGACAGGATCGTAACAGAAATTATATTCTTCATATTATCACATGTTGCCAGGTCGGTCATATGCAATCTTCAGCATACCATTTTGTATATAGGGAGCGTGTCAACAGTAGCTTATGTAGCCCCACTCATTAATCCTCAAAACCTGCATGTTTTCCTACGAAAACGGTGTTTATCGAGTTTTATGGGCGGTAAATTAGGACACGCAGTAGAATATACTTTAATAAATGCTAAGTGCATTTTTATTTTACTTTATTTAGAAGGGTTGTCGATTTATATCTATAGATTTTCCTAATCTGTATTATCACTTAACTTATTGCGAAAAAACGCGATTAAAAAACTGCAGGTTTCTTGAATTTCCCGAAAAAGTGAAGTGGTGATTAGTTGATCGTCTACTTCAACTTACCTGAGGTCCAACTTACAGTTCTGGAGTTAGATTAATATAGTTCGCGGCGCGAAGCGCCCCGCACACCTTCAATTTACATGCGGAATAACCTGCT